TGAAGGCACCCGAATGTCCTTTGTGATGGGATTTGAGACTTTCTTGCCTGGATGTGTCCACCTTGTGGCATTGAGCCAGCACAGTTTGTGAGGACGCTGCTGTCTGAGCTGTCGTTACAGCCTTGGCAGAGCTCAGTGGTTATACCTGCGCGTCTTTTGGGGAGGTTATGGACATGCAGCTCTTCTGGCAAGACCTGAGGATGGGGGAGATCTTGAGCCCCATCCTTTCCAAATGTTGCAAGTACCTGAGCTCAGGCAGGTTCTTGCACCCAGAGTGGGCTGCAGCAAAGCCAGACAGGGATTGCTGTCGACACCTTCAGGGATTTATCCTGCAGAGCTGCCCCTGAGCTGGGGAGGTCTGCTCAGCTCCTGAGTTAAGGCACACGGCCCAAGCCCCAGCCTGGAGAAGGGTCTGGCTGTGTGGCCGTGCGGAGGCTTGGGCTGGTGGCCACCTCTCGCATCCCTCCTGCGCTCCTGCCCCTCGCGTGCGCGATGTCGGCTGCCTCCCTTCCTCGTGCGCTGCAGATTTTAGGGCAGCAGGGGACGCGTCATCTGCCTTCTTACATCAGTGGGTTTTCATTAAGCTTATTTTACACTCCAGTGGTGGTTTTGGCTTGGTTTATTTCTCCTGCAATTTGGAGAAGCCACAGGGCTCCGCTAAGAGGAATCCGAAGAATCTGAGGCCATCCCGGATAAAGAGGATGTAGAAAAGTGCCTTTCAGTGGGGCTCAGGGGTTTCAGTTATGAGAAGCTTCAATCTCCCGTGGAAATGAAGCTCTGATTATTTTTTCATTGTTGCTGCCCGCATACACCTGGAGACGCCATCGGGATAAACCTGCCTCTGCTTGCACATTTGTGGGGGTGACACCTCAAAGTGACAGTGGCTCTGAGAGCTGGGATGCTCCAAATCTGATCTCCTTTATGTGTCACAGGGCAGGTCCCTTTTCCCTGTGCGCAGTCATTCAAACATCTTCCGTGAGTAAGGGACAGCCGGGCGAGCCAACAGCTGAGAGAGTGTCTTTGGCACCGGGCAATTTGTGCCATTGGGCAGTTGTCACCAGTTCAGTGACTATTTCCAAATGGTGCCTAAAGCTCCATTTCTTTTGTCACGAGGGAACAAAGAGGAGTCACAGTTCATGGAACAAGCCGGCCGATCCCACAGAGCCAGGTTAAATGCTGCCGGGGAACCTTCGGCATTCGCAGCCCAGCTGTGCTCTGGCCGGTCCTGGAAAGGGCTCAGCACAAAGCAGGCTGGAAGAACAAAGACTGGGGGTTTTTTTATTATTTTCATCCTTTTTGCAGTTTGTTAAATCTTTGCTTTGAAATACTCAGAAACCCAATAGAGCGAACCTGTGTATAGTTTGTTCAGAAACAACAGTTCAGGAAAGTCAGCTTAGATTTTATTATTTTTTTTGAGACTTTCACCTTCTTTGCTCAGTGGAGTTCATCACGTCTCGAAAAGTGTGTATCTCTCACAGGCTTTTCTGTTGTATTTGTCACTTCACCGTGTCCCATGGCAGAAAAGCTCTTTCTGCGTTGTAGTTCAGGCTGGTCACAAAGTGCTTGATGCTTCTATCAGAGCTGGAGTACACCTCGTGATGAGTGTCACCAGGTAGCACTATCCCAGATTGGATGCTCTTTGTGTTCACTTTAACTGTTCTCATCTCCTTCCTTTTTAGCTATTATATTACATGCATTAAATAACCGCTGGGCACCAAACTCCTTAGCACAGTCTGCATCGGAAAATGCTCAGTACAGTCAGATAAGGAGAGACAAGCTGTTGCCCTCACCTGTGGTGAAGATGGGTGACAAGGACCATGTTTTGTAGCACTGCAGAGTAAGAGCACAGGCAAAAAGCTTCTTCCACGGCTGGTGCTCAGAGAGCCTGGGGGATCCCCAAGCTTGGACATACTCAGATGTCAACTGGGCGCGGTGCTGAGCAGAGTGATCTGATTTTGAAATTACTCTGCAAGCCAGTTGGACTAGAAAACTCCAGAGGTCACTTCTGACCTAAATCTTTCTGTGATTTTATTATTGTGCATTTCCCTGATGTCTGTGATAACAAAAGTGGTTACTGAAAGATGCAGTGGTGGATGTTCCTGCCTATCCAGAGACACTCCTTTGCCTCAGGTGTAGGAAAAGCGCTGAAGTTGCTGAAATCGTTCATCTCACCTGCTTCCTCCCTAAGATGCAGCCATTTGCCTCATTAAGGCTCATTAGATGAGCCCCACCTCATCCATTTTGTACTTTTTCCCGAGCCAGATGAGGGCAGGTTCACCAAGTGTGCAGCTGCCTGGTCACAAGTGGTACAGGCACAGGGTGCTGTAGCTGTTCTCTTTTGGAGCCTCCTCAGCACGTCCCGGAGAAGCAGGAGCTGCCTTGCACAACCCACGTGCTCCAAGTCGGCTGTCGGCTTGCAGTGCACGGAACTGGGAGAAGAACATCCCAAGGACCTCACTCCTACCCAGAGGGACCTGAAGCTGAGGAGCTTCTCCAGCTGTAAGACCAGCTGCTAGTGGGACATTGCCACGTCCTGGTTTTGTGGTGGGACAGGTCTGGGTGTGTGCGGCCCCTGTCCTGGAATAGCCCGTGTGAGTGTGGGATGGGTTCCCAGAGCATGTGCCAGAGACCATGGGTTGTGTTCTCATTTCAGTCCAGTCCCTGCTTCAGGGATGTAACTTCATCACCTCTTCTTTATCCACAGAGGGAGGAATGTTTGTCTTGGACGTTGCAGATGTCCCTTGAAATCTCTGTTGATGAGGAAGCAGCAAGTTCTGGCAAGAGCTGACAGGCTCCAGAAATGTTACCTGTATTTTTTGTTAACACCAGCGTGAGAAATCAGTCCCAAGAGTTTGTGGCTATGGGCATTGAACCGGTGGGACTGAGACATAAGGGTGGGAGGGAAGCAGCGCTGTACGCCACAGAGCAGAGAAGGTCTGAGATGGTACAGAGAGTCTTGGATTGATGGGTAATGAAATGCTGGAGGGATCGGCGTTTCGCGGGCTTTGGTCTTGGGATCCGAGTCATAGAGTGGTTTAGGTCAGAAGGACCTTAAAGATCGTCTAGTCCAACCCCTCCTTCCATGGACAGGGTCATCTCCACTCGATCAGGTTGCCCCTTGCAGCCTGACCTTGAAGACTTCCAGGGATGGAGGTTCTCTGCTCTTGTTCAGTTTTAGTAGGTGCTGGACTAAACCAGGGATCACCAACATTTTGCTGAGGCTGACCTACGTTGTGTTTTCCTTCTAAGGATGGGGAAACCTAGGGATTTGAAGGGAAATGGTTCATCAGCCTGGTGGCAGGTTCTGCTTTACCCACAGCCAGCCCCTGCTCCCCTTGGCACACAGGTGCTGAGCATCCTCAGAGCTATGGTGCTCTGACTCCAGAAAACCAGTAGTGAAGAGGCAGAGAGAAAGGGACAGGAAAGAATGGCTTTTCCTGGTGTACTTCGAGAAGAGTGGCTGGGCTGTGATTCATTACAGCAGTGTGTGAGCATGTGCTGCAGCCGCGCTGGTCCGAGCGGCCGAGACCGCAGCTGGCACGGCTCCTGTGGCAGCTCATGATGCCAAGGGCAACCAGACTGCAGATGGGCGAGAGGTGCTTTGCTTTGTGTGCCGCTCCTCCGAGCTGTCAGACGAGCTGTTCTTCCATGAAATATTGAAAGGGTTGGGCCTGGTAAAAGCCCTCCTGAGTGCAAGCCTCTCTGCATCCATTTGCAACCAGGCCTGGCATGCAAGTGATGGGGCAGCCTTCTCCCTCCTGCTTCCTAGTCCTCTCCCACCCCTGAGGCTTCCCCTCTGGCCTGAAGCTGCTGAAGCAGTGAGTCTCTGCTGGTGGGCGGGCCGGGCGGA